CACACACATACACACACACATACACCACACACATACACACACCATACACACACATACACCACACCACACACACACCACACACCACACACACACACACACACACACACACACACACACACACACACACACACACACACACACACACACACACACACACACGCATTAAGACGTTTGGATATGCATAAATATTTCTATGAAATTATAAAGTAGTTTGTCAGCTTGTCTACACTCATAATAAATCACCTTCAGATTTACAAACCATTTCATGTCACATCGGTGCCTTTTCACCTCTGTGCATTGGGGCTAATTGCATGTACGCTACGCATGCATTTCCTCCAGGAAACTGTGGGCATTATCCGTGGGCAAAAAATGGGTATCATATTATATCTCACACTATTTTTGTCAGATTTCTAGTCTTACAAATGATCTGAGTTTGTTTGGATGCATTTTTTCATAAAGTGTCAATGTGAAGGACTTTCAGTATATATATATATATATATATATATATATATATATATATATATATATATATATATATATATATGTGTGTGTGTGTGTGTGTGTGTGTGTGTGGTGTGTGTGTGTGTGTGTGTGTGTGTGTGTGTGTGTGTGTGTGTATGTGTGTGTGTGTTGTACATACATATACATAATACATATATACACACACATGTATATGTATGTATGTGTGTGTTCGTGATTTTTTCATTGTTTGTACAGAAAGTATCTTGTATGGAATTTTATTGTTATTTAAAGAGCCAGAATGAATTAATCAATAAATCTGTGATCTACTTACTTTGCCTTTAATTACCAGTCATGATTTCCTTCTCATCTTTGGATAGTGTTTCTTACAATAACTATATATCCACAAATTCTTGCATTTTATTGCCTTGATTTGCTTTATAACGTTTTAATCTTAATAATGTTGTATGTCAATGTCATCATTACCTAAAATACTGCTTGTGATATAAATCATCATAACCATTTTTGTATATACGTATATTGTAAATTAAGGGATAATGTTTCAACTCAGTTAATTTATGTCTACACTGAGGATGAGTGTTGAACACTCGAAATGTTTGTTCTGTCATTGAGAAGAATTATGTTCTGTTTGCTATGAAGATAGCCGTCATGTTTTTGAAGATTAAAAAAGAAGAAGAAAAAAATATTTTTCTCCTCACACTGATCGGCGTTCAGTTATAATATATATATATATATATATATATATATATATATATATATATATATATATATATATATATATATATATATCTGTGTGCGTGTGTGTTTGCTTGAATGCACGTTCGTGTACTGCATACAAAATTATAGACATGTCCAGTGCTCCACTACTTTATGTTTTCATTCATCATTCCAGCAAGAAATCGCGTTAAATTACTCTTCATACTACTATGTATGTAAGCGTATGCGGACGAGTGACGCTCTGGCGACTCCAATGTGTTATCATCCATGACTTATTTATATTTCTTTGTTTCCGAAGTGAAGATTTCATGTTGAATATTTTTATTTGTCTTCGCCTTCGATAGAGCCGGATTTGATTTCCATGTTCGATAGCGAGAAACTAGACACTTCCACGTGTTTTTTATGTAAACCGTTGAGAATCTCTTGACCCTTAATGTTCACAGGCGGAACGATTTCTAAGGCGCGCTCGCGCACACCCACACAAACACACATGTATACGCACGCACACACACACACACACACACACACACACACACACACACACACACACACACACACACACACACACACACACACACACACACACACACACCGCAAACTAACAAACAAACAGGTACGCACACGCAAAACCGGCAGAGACAAAACCCACCCACACACACCTGAGCGGCAACACAGTTTTGAAAGCTACGAATCCAAAATTTTCTGACTATCATCGCTTCAAAACAATATCTTTTCGCGAATTTATATCACTGAGTCGCTGGCAGTCTCATAGCATCGGTTAAGGTGAACCTGTGTCCCTGTCACGCCCACCTGAGGGCGAGATGAGCGTACAAGCCAGGTAACCTTGGCCTTGACTGCCTCCAGCACGATGTGCCGATTCGCACCACGTGCGACAATTATTTTATCGCTAAATGCTCTTAGTTTCTTACTTTTGAATCGTATCTATACTCGCAATGTATAATATACGAATAAGTGAAGTGATTATATGGTAACTGGCCAAAGTTCTTGTAATGGAAGTCAAATTTTCCGCGATTTAAATTCGCCGTGCGAGTCTGGAACTCGGTAAGATTAGCCATGCACAAATATTCTCGTCTCAAATCCCAGGCGACATGAAACAAAGGACAGATGTGCAGGCACTCTTGAATTTCCAGATTAGATATACGATTGCAAGAAGCCCAATTGTTTAGTCACGTTAGACGGGGTGAATGTTTTGACACCTGACATTTCCTGGAAGTAGTGACGACCGCGTGTCGGGAAAGATTAATGTCGGAGAATTTGTCAGTAAACTTTATAACCGGCATTTCAGGATTCATCGTCCCGGAACGTTATGGAGAAGGATTACCAATTACAGTTAACCGGAGTTGGGACAATTCTGATACATGCTTTTATTTACAAGACAGATTTTTAAATATCTACCTGTGATAACGAGATTACCATGTAAAGGTATGACTCATTACACCTTTCATGGAAACTTTCCTGTCGTCCCATAATTCGTTGATATTTAATGAGAAACGAGTGAGGCAAAGGAAAGAGATCATAACCTATGGTCACACGAAATTAACTACGGAAGACTATGGTTTAAAGGGGACAAAAACATCGTTTTCATGAAGAGGCGCGGAGGAACACCAAACCGACGGCGCAGCGTCCTACTCAAGCTTGGCGCGCCTCACAAATGTTTGCTTATATTTTCACATTTCCCGCCGATGCAGAGTATTGTTGTTGTTATATGTACTGAGATTCTGATAGATGCATAAATAAATGCAAGGGATCTCCGCCTTTGGCAGTGTTTAATCATAACCCAATATAGTTTAAAAGCAACAGATTAACGTAAATGGGTGGGTCGAGCCGCCTCGCAGGTAACTCTGATGACAGCGATAAATTCCTAGAGTTGCCAAGCGGTGAAAAGTTTATAGAGGTCGCTAGAGCTGCTGCTAACAAAAGAGCATCGCCAAGTCTTGTCTGTAATGCTTTCTGTTATTTCATCTTTCTTAATTTACACTGCTATTGTGTTCATATATCAGATATTAGTATCTCACAAAATGATGTTTTCCTACTCCTAAGATAAAAGATATAAGGAAGATTCGATTGACATGAAATGTGCCTGAATATCATTGAAAGGATTCCGATCCTAACTCAGCAGTGTCAATGCACGGAAGGTGTCTGGCAAAAACTTTTCGACCAGTGTTGTTTTGTCGCTCGTGGTGGTCAGGCGTGTGTGTTGTGCGGATTCCTAATTTGGAGTCCTCTTTCATTCTGACTGTCAAGGAGAAATTCCAAGCTGTCACTACAGCGCCTTGGCCGCCAGCACGATGTTGAAATTTAAACACCAACAGAAAATAACTCCAGAACGAATACAGAAGCAGAAGGAGCTCTTTGACTTCAACAAGGTGAGTTCAGGAAGAAAGACATGTTAACGAGGAGAAAGACGAGGTTTGTTAGTGGACACGTGAGGCATGTTTATCTCTGCCGTCTGCAACATGTCATGCCGCAGAATGAACGGCAGGATTGAGACGTTTCTCGGGCGAAGATTTAGGCCTATGTTTGAGGTTCATACCCTCTAAATACACTGATCCAGCGTGGGAAAATGCCTCGTTCCGGTACCGCTGTGTGTGACATGTCAGAGGATGTTGTTTGTATTTGTGTGAACATGTAAGCAGAGGGCCCCGTTCTGAAGTAGAATGTCCATTGTGGATGGTGTATTTTCTATACTGGAAACTGTCTAAGAAGCAAGGGTATGTAAGTCATTTTCCAGACAGTAATTTACTACATAACATACCCTATTTGAATCATGGTAGCTATATGAACGGCTGGTATGTTTTGTTGTATATAATCTAGTTTGATGTTATTGATAACTTGACACAAAAATTCAGACGAAATAACATTATAGTTTTCTATTTAGGCTGTATAACAGAATGAGGGTGTCATTTGCTATATGATTCGTGTATTTTACAATATATAGATTTGGAAAAGATGAATTAAACATATATGGTGTAATGTAGACTAGTTATTTATTTAATGATAAATTGCCATTGAAGTCTATTCTTTTGTAAATATCATAACACTTTCCTAATGTAGATTTAAAGTTCTATGTCAGATTGGTATGTATTACTTAGACCTCCATTATCTCTGCACTTACACAATGGAGTAATATTGGAATGTATTGTTGACAGGGTGTATATTAGAAGTTCAAATTATGTAAGACAGTAGTAATTATTCTGATTAAAAGGAAATGCCCATCAGATTTTAATAGTTGTCAGAATGTTCTTACTCAGATCCCACAAGCAAGGGATAAGTAGTGTGAAATACTACAAATATATGCGGAATATAGTTGGTTACTTGTGTTCTGGATGCGTCTACAGCAATATTAACATTTGTTGGATGCACTCTGTTATCTGTATTGGCTAATACCTGTTCTACATTAAAGTTTATGTTAAACTTTTACAGCAGGAAATATGAAAGGGGAAACACTACTAAAATTTGGGAGTAGAGAATGGAATATGTTTTCTGAAGTATTTTTGTTGCTGGTTCATTTATCATGGCCTCTATCTATGAAGTGGTGTATGTATATTTGCGTGTGTGTGTGTGTGTATACGTATGTGTGGTGTGTGTGTGTGAGAACCATTGTAGCCAGCTGTTGATTTTTGTCACAGGTGATTTTATGATATGCAGAGTCTCCTGTCATTATCTGTGTAGGTTATCATCAGACTTCGTTTCTTGATTTTTTAAAGCCTTTTCTTTAGGGTTGACATCCAGTCTTATGCAGTATTGTAGTACTTTTATGTGTAATGTTCCTGATGTTGTCA